CCCGAAACGTTAACTCTGTTTTCTCCTCCGCAGATGCTGCCAGACCTGCTGAGCTTTTCCAGCAACTTTGTTTTTGTTTCTGATTTACAGCATCCGCAGTTCTTTTGGTTTTCATCCAAGCATTTTTGCTACTGTTTATAAATATGCCAGCTGTTGCAATCAACATTTGGAACATCAGGGTATTGGGAAAATTTATCGTGAAAATCAGGAGGCAAAGAGAATACAGTAGAGATAAATCAGAGACTGACAAAACAGCAATGTTCCACATATTGCTCTAATGAGTTATGGTACCTTTAATGAGATTCTGTAGCATTTTAACGTAACATTAAGGTATCACGCGTAACATGTTGATCTATTCGAAACAAGCAACTGGCGCGGCAGTTCAAGGCAGCAAAAGGGTTGCGAGAAAGTCAATCATTAATTCTTTAGGTTCTTCAGATAATATGAGCTGAAGGCAATGACTAACATTGACAATATACATGCTACATTTAAAGTTGAAATCATGCTTTACTAATCTTATTTCTTTGTGTCTGTACCAATACGCCACACCATTACGATTAATTTGTTGATTTCTAGGGATTCTTGCATTTTTCCGGTTATGTCTATCTTTAAATAAAGGTCTTTCAAAAGCCACGCCTACATAATTGTGAAAGCAAGAGTCATTTTAATAACGGCATCTTGCTCCGAACACCACGGGCCAACGTTTAGGTCATTAGACCTGGTACGTAAAATAATAACAGGTTGACTTTAAAAGTACTTCAAAAATAGATTGTCCATGTTGATGTATAGTACACAAACTTCAATAATTAAATAATTAATGTTACAATGCAGCTTTATTGTTCTATTTTGGTTTGCATCTGGGATTGTGTTAATATTCATGTGTTAAAATACAGTCATACTGGAAATAGTTTGCGTCGAATAAGAGGGAGTCTTCTTTCCTTTCAATGAATAACACACCTACGTAGCCTAAATTCTCCGTGCCCAGTTGCATGTGTATTTTGCTTGCTGTTGCAAAATTTCTCTGCTCCCAGTTTGTTCTTTTTATAAAGATGCTTTATTTTCTTTTACGATTCATGCTTAAAGGGTTGCGGCAGTGTACATTTGGAGTACTGAGAAGAATTGGGTTTTTTTTAAACAGGTCACCTAGAGGTCAGTGGGAGTTGTTAAAATTAAAACAATTAAATTTATGTTGTGATCAGTGGA